TATAATGTAGCTTATTATTTTTTTACCGATCTTCCATTCTAGAAGCTGATCTATTACGGAGTGTATTCCTACTCTATCGAAGGTTTTGCAAAGTCAAGCGATATTATCGAGATATGCTTTTTTCTGAGAGAGAATCTGTTATCATGTAGTCTAAGTAAATTAGTCTGTCAGTAACAGATTTCCCTTTTCTGAATCCCATTTGATGGCTATTGAGTAGCTTGTTTGAATTAACAAACCACCAGAGTCTATTAGCTATAATTCTGTCCAAAATCTTCGCGCACACAGGGTTCAAAGATATAGGCCGGTAGGATTGTATGCTGGTTTTGTCTGCCTTTGGTTTAAGTATGGGAGTTATTGTACTTAGTTTATATAGCTGCGGTAGGTAGTTGTCGAAAATTTTGTTGTAAAAAGAAGTAAGCCTTGATTTTGCACTTGGAGAGAGGTGATGAACCATATCATAAGTGATTCGGTCAAAGCCAGGGGAAGAACCGTTTGCTTTTTTTAGTGCGATATGCAATTCAATATTTGATATGGGTTTCTCAATTATTTTAGCCTTTTCATTAGGTCTAAATTCGGCTACGCTAGAGTAAAGTGATGTTTTCTTTAATCTGAACTGTTGCGGGAATTTTGAGTCGTGTGATTGTGTGGACCAGTGCTGACAAAAGAAATTACTAATTTCGAAATTGTCTGTGATAGTGGAGTTGCCAGAGCTTATGCAATGTATACCCGTGTGAGATTTGAGGCCACAGAAACGCCTTATATTTGACCACACTCTTCTGGAAGGGGTGGTGTGCTTGATAGCGGATATGAATGTGGATATAAAAGTTCTTTTGGTGATTTTTTCCCCCTTTTTATTATTCTTTTCATATTTGCGGCTTCTTTGTTGATATTTTCACTTACTTCTATTCCTCTAGTAAGTTGGTCTGAAATCTCATAATAACTGCCCCAGTTGGCAAGCTTAGTTAAGAATTTCGGTTTAATGGGGTTGCACGTGGAATTGTTTGTGGGGAATAGAGTTGTTATAATGGGAAAATGATCACTCCCCATGAGGTAGTCATTTACTTTCCATTCCAGTGGAAGTGAACAAAAGGTGAGGTCGATATGGGATAAGGTGTTGTGAGAGTTATCTAAAAACTTTGAAATCAAGTTCCCTCTGGCATTATTACGGAAAGATCCCCATTTTCTATGCCAACTGTTGAGGTCTCCAGTAACTAAACGAGGTAAACGGGTGGGTTCAAAAGCTTCCAGCAACAGTGATGACGTCAGTCTGGTGGCATGGGATATGTAGGTAGAGTTAATGATAGATTTTATTTTAGAGTGAATTCTGGCAGATATTGTTTCGAATTGTGTATTGGTGTTCAGGGGTTCATATTGTATTTGTTTATGTATTAGAAAATCAACTCCTTCGTAAGCCGTTGTTGCTTGATTTTTGTTAAGCATTATATAGTTGACGGGAGTTGGAATGTTATGTGTCGTATGGAGGTGAGTTTCTTGTAAAGTGATTAAGAGTGGTCGATATCGCTTAATTAATATGAGRGGTTCATTGTAGTGATTAACGTATCCGTTGCTGTTCCATTGCATTATTTTAAGAGTCATTGGAAGAGTAGCTTAAGAGCTTGCGTTGTGAGGTGAGAGGATAGTAGGTCCTGTTGGAGATGTGTGGGTATATGCTGGCTACTGGTAAATTGAGATAGGTTTGATTGTTACTGTATGCTAATAGAAGAGAAAGGTTGAAGAATGTTTTCCATTTAAAAGAGTTTGATGTTCTGTGTAATGTGACTACTCTTTTTGGGTATTTGTGATCATTTTAGGTAAGAGGCTTATAGCAGGAACAGTCCAAAGGCTACTGCCTTCCTCCCTTTTCCTTCCTCATCGGCAAAATGTGTGCCCAGTGAAAAACGTGGCAAAAACTCAGAATTCAGCCATCTTTGTTTGTTTTCATTTGCACAATGTTACCATTGCTCAATACGCATATATAGTTTTGTACACATCTATGTCTTCAATTACAATTTTTTATAATATAAAATATCAAAACTGAAAACAAACTATTAAAAATAGTTTATATATTTATAAGTAATAGCATTCGACTCCAATTTTGAGTTATTTTAAGAAAATTTAAAACATATTGAACAGATTGAATTATAAAAGTTGATAATTACTACTGTATAT